TGCCAATGTTAAGAAGGGGGTACGGGGCTATAAGACGTCTACGTTGTAAAAGCGGTGCAAGATTTCCTCCATCCACAGTATGGTGTTTGCCTGGCACAAGCAGTGCCACTTTCTAGTGGTTGTAAGGGCAGCGCAGTCCGTCTTCGACGAAGGAAGTAGCCACGCGACGATCTTCGTGACCAAGTTGAAGGTGATGCTGGAAGCCAACGACAGGCTGATCTCAATCTCTCGTAAAATAAAGTACACTCCCAGGACGACGAGATTCCATCGGTCCTCCTCAAATCAAAGGTTCAGACGAACTCAGCTGCTCAGATGGGAGCTCCGCAACTTTCTCCAACTGAATTGGTTCGGACTGCCTGCTTGGACCGAGCCCTCTTCGAACACTCCTCTTCACCTGCTTAGCCTGCGAAGCTGCGGTAACCCTGAGCCTTGAAAACGGCTCCCACAGCCTGACTGAAGCTTTTCCACAGTGAATGGGAAGGCCGGAACAGAATCTGGCCCAAACCAGCTCTCATGAATCGAATGCCAGGTCCTGACAAGGGCAGCGTTGGGGCCCTTAGCAGACGCGGCCTCCTGTCGGAGATCAAGTTGTCCAGAGCCTTACGCTTGTCCTCCTCCGGGATCTTTCCTCCTGACCATTTCGGTGCGCCTCTGCTGAAACAGGTGGACGGCGCGTCCGCACGTTTCGCCCATAGCCCCTGTGGGCTGAGCCTGCAGCGCAGGTTCACAGCATCGGAACTGCAAGCAGAAGCACTCCCCGAAGCGATAGTGGTTGTGTCTTGCTCTTCCCACAGCGCAGCCAACTCATTGACCCTGCCTATATCGACCCTAGGTAAAAAAAAGGGGCGGGCTTCCTTCTCTTCATTGAGCCTCGATGCTGATGTTGCCTGACGCTCAAAGGTCACGCTCAAAGTGATGCAAGCTGTTCCCAAACCTAGTGCGTTCACTCACAGGCAGAGACATGCAAATGCAGCACTGTCACATGCTCAAGCCGGCGTTCAAACAGGTGCACGCACTCACTCACAGGCAAAGACATGTGACCGAAGGAATGTGACAAGTGGCTCAATGCAATGCAAATTGGTAATCAAAACCGCAAGCGACCAGTCTTGCCATTCAAGCGGCAGTTGAAACCAATACTCTACTACTGTGTTGTGTACTGAGTACCTAGGCGAGTTCACCGCAGAGGAAATGGAGAATGAAAACGGAAGTATCGAACCAGCCCAGAAACCGAGACTCCTTTTGGCAGGGCGGCAGCCCAAATCTGCGTTAGCTGTCACGCAACCGAGCCGGCGAGGGCGAATTGGCCCCCTCTACTCCGCATTGCTTGCGGCCGACTCGCACAAAAGAAATCCATTATCCCTAGGGGGCACGCTTGTCTCAGCAGCGTGCTTCAAAGCAGCAGGTAGCCTGAATTTCCCAGGCTGAAATTTTCTGCTGAGCACGTCAGAGATGACATTGGAAACCCCTGAGATATGTTCGAACCACTTTGGACGATAACTGCATCGACTGAAGTCAAGAGCGAGCTCCCAGGCAATGCGCCCCAGACCTCTTGCTTTGGGCTCGGCCCGAAGTTTGATCAGCTAGCTGAGCGCAGAAACACTGTCTGATCCGAGGTGCAGGCACGCCCCTCGCTTGAGCCAACGCGAGTGCCAAAGCCGTAGCGCCACAAGTACCGCAAGAGCTTCCCAGACCTGTTGACCGTCGGGAGATCCACGGTCTGCCTCCGCGAGCTCCAAATCGAAGTCACTCAGCTCGTCACAAAAGTACTCCACCGGCGTGTCATTCATCGCCAGCAAGCCTCCGATGCCCCAAGGAGACGCATCAGTAACGATCCTCATCTTGATGGCCTTCCCGAAGTAGCGGCTCACCCTGTACTCTCGAACCAGCGAGCCGGCCTCACCCTTGAAGAACGCGAGGAATCGAGGAACCATGCTGACCCATTGCCTTGTCCAGACACAGTTTGGCGGGCGCGAGTCCGGGCCGCAGCTGTTTATGACGGCCCAGAGATCTGTGAGGAACGGCCTCCAAGTATCCACCACGCCCGCCACGTAGTTGGCCTTACCCACGTACTTCTGAAGGTCTCGAACGCTGACCACATTGGTCTTGAGATGCTCCTGGGTAGCCTCGAGGATCTCCCGCATCAGGTCGCCAGCTTTGACGCAGTAGTGGATGCCAATCCATGTGAAGTCCGTTCCCCGAGACGCTTTCTCAAATGCCAGTGGAATGCGTAGCGCCAGCCAGAGACAAATCAAGATTGAGGCCAGCCTGTCCCGTCCACGCTTCTGCCCTGATGAGAAAGCACGGATCGTCCACGAACAGCTGCAGCCGAGCCACATCAGTCCTGAAAAGGCTCTGGCTGAGCCGTCCGATGTACGCAGCCACTCTTCCACAGACTAGCGGCGCATTCTTGCTGCCTTGCGTCTGCGTGAGGAAAACAATGCGGCGCAGGGGGCTGTCAGCTTGTTCACGATAAGCCGTGGCGAAGTAGCGCTGCTCGGAGTGCAACGAGGGAACCGAATAAAACCAGTCCTTGAAATCGAGAACAAGTGCTTCCACCTGCTCTCCTTCCGATCGGCTGGTCGGGGAAGTTGCACCCGGCCTCCCTTCTGCGCCATAAGGTTGGCGCCTGATTCGTGACAATCAAGTATGAGCCTGCGTTTGGCGGCGCCATCCGCCCTTTCTTTGCTCACCATTGCAAGTTTGGACGTCAACGGTGCGCCGCCCAGCCACGAAGCGCACGAGTGAAGGTCCTCAAAGGTCTTCACATAGCCGGAATTTATAAGTCTGTGTACTTCAGAGATGGCCATGGCGTCAGCGTCTACAGATTTATAATTCTCATGATCCGCAGGATCATGCAGCAGCTCCTCCTCACAGGCTGCCTCCGCTGACCCAGTGTCCGGCGGAAATATCTTGCCGGGGTCTCTAATGTGAGACGAAATTCCCCGCGGCGATCCACCCCGCAACCATTCTTCCACGCAGCCAGCATCGGGGTCTCCTGCCACGCGACCCCATGCGCCCAGCAGCTCGAAGTCCAGACCGTCCCCGTCTGTACGCGGAGTAGCGTTGAACACAGATCCAAGGCGCCGGGCCAGCTCGTTCACATGTTTCTCGTCCGGCCTTTGGTCTGCCTCGTCCGAGCCGATGGCTGCTAAGCACTGTTGCTGCAAGTCAGGGTTCTCCTCCAAGTAGCGGTTAATGACGCCGAAGACAGCCTTGCCAGCTCGATCGAAGCCCTTGATCGTCTCCATAGCTTTGCGCGGATGTCTCATTCCGCCGAGGCAGCTGTCGCCTTCGTCAGCGTCAGCTTGTGTATGTTTTCCCCTGAGAGCAGGCGACCATGTCATCGTCGGTACCACGCTCGCACCCTCCTGTGACGGCTCGGGGACGTCCCTGACCAACACGTTCTTCCATCTGCCTGTCAGCTTCCAGCCACAGCGTTTTGCGATCGCATCGCCGTGGGCAGTCACCAGCTTATGGGCAAAGTACTCATTCAGGCCTCCAGGGTATGCAGCCGCCGCCTTGGTGAGGTATGGCATGTGCCGAAATTTCGCCCGTCTGGCCCCATCACTGAGCAACACGTCAGGCCTCCATTGCTCCGCCGGCACAAATGCTTCCTTGCCTTTCAGCGGTGGATGCGCCGCAAACCTCCACGCACCGGTGCTGGGAAGTCTCCACCAATGCTTAGAGTGCTTGCACGATAGCATCGTTGAACATCACCCTTCAAAGTGAACCAGTGAAGTCGGCTTCTCCGAAGGCGCCCCATAGCCGCATTGGAGAGGCGAGTGTGGTGAACTCCATCCAAGGCCAGTAGCTGCTTGAAGAGCATACTGATAGCCTCCTCATCGTCGACGCGCGCCGGCTGTTCCAGAATCACTGGCTTGTCTTGCTCACGAAGACACCTTAAAACGTCCAAGGCCCTAAGCGCTAACAAGGTCCCAAGTCGCACATCCTCTTTCTCATCCGGGGTCAAGTCGGATCTGCCATAGATGCCGCGATCGCCTGGCCGCCGTATAGGTCGAGGCCCTCCGTCGTCCTCCTTACGGGCGTTGGAGAAGGTATGACAAGGTGGTCCCAACAACCCGCCGTCGAAGACGCCATTGACGATCCGCCGCCTTAGCTTCCGGTAAGTGGCATCGTCCGCGAGGACACAGAGGTCACCATTGACAATGTCCCAGTCCTCGCAGTTGCTGCCCAATTGCCTGAGAGCGGCGGCCAGACCATCTTTGCGCCCCGACGGCCCACTAAACAGACGCAGGAACAAAGGGTTGCGAGGTGTGGCCATATTGCTTGCGTCCCCGCCAGCCTCTTTCTGCAGCGAAGTCTGGATCTCCGTCCGTCCGTGCAGCAGTGTTGCGGCGCTTGCGCAGGCGCCGCCCTCGGTGCCTCGGAAAGGCACGACTAGAGGGCGCTCTGCTCTGCGCCCATCTGGGGGGAGATCTCTCCCTGTCTCAGGCCTTGCTTTTGCCCCCACCTTTTCGCCCCCCCTTCGGCTTGAAGGTACGGGGCTGCTTGGGGGCTCCATGCGGGCACTCGTTGGCTCCGTGATCTTCTGACAGACACTTCGCGCATTGGTGGCGCGTACGTCCGGTCTTTGCACAAAAACCATTGCGGTCCTTCTATTTGCATTCGCCCTTCTGAAACCCTCGGCACAGCTCAGTTCCACGCCTGTTGTGTGTCAGCATCCCATCTTCACCGACCAGATGCTGTCTGATGCTGTCATCTCTTCTGCGTTTCGTGGCGGTAGAAGAGGAGGGCTTCTCAGGCGCTACGCCACTTGGGGTTTCCACGGGTGCATCCGCTCCCAGGACCTGCGACGTTCTCTGCGACTTTGCAAGGATGAGTAGGGCCGGTTCCTCGAGCTCGCGATGCCAGAACGCGTGCTCCTTGACCATCCTGTTCCAGACCCACTCCCATGGCATCGGCCTGATAAAGCAAGGCCCAGCAACCTTGGCCGTAGCGCTCGCGATAAGACCGGATGTGGTGCTCATAGCAGTCCAATCTAGCAGGAGATATCTGTCCGAACATGATGCAACCAGTCTTGAATACACCATAGCTCTCCCGCCAAGCCTCGAAATCAGGTGGCCCATTTATCTCCACCGGCACGATCTCGCCCAGTGAGTTCAGGCGAACACCCTTCAGTCTGATCTTCTTCGCCAGGCGGTGATGGTAAGGGCCCCAGACAGCCATGTCTGTATAGGGCGCTCTGCCGCTCTGAAACAGACGGTGCAGCACTGTCAGCTGCTCCGCACTGAGTTCTTGGTCCGGCGGAGGAGCCGCACCGATCTTCCTTGTATATCTCGCATATGCTGCAGTGATTGCAGCATCGTCTAGGATGTCCACTTCGAGGTCGTCCGTCTGATTTATAATGGTGCTCAATTTCACCCTCCTTTTCGGTGCTTGCATGGCAGCTGGCGGAGGAGATGTAGGGCCAGGACTGGCCTGTCCAGAGCCGAGGCCCACCACCACGCGGCATGTCCTGCCAACAAGCGCGCCCTGTCCGAATTGCCGTGGCGTAGGGTCCTGCAAGGAAAGGGACCCAGCAGTCATCACAGGAACCTTCCATTGTTCCAGCAGCTTCAAAAAATCCGGCTCAGCAATCAAGGCAAAGATACGCGGGTGGTCAGACCCATCCGAACCCAGGAGATAGCAAGGTGAACCAGCTATCGTGTCCCTGTCAGCTGTGTCTCCCTGCAGCCCAGCGAACTTGATAACATCAGCAAGTGTCTTGAAGCTCGCCCAGTCGGCTTCTGGTGGATCAATAGACATTGATGCGCACTCTGGGGCCTGAAGGAAGCTGGACTGTCTGGGAGCTCTCTTGCTGTCTGTATGAACGCCAAAGATTGCCAGCCGCCAGACCCAGAAGGTAAACTGAAAAGCCCAGAATGGCAAGGTTCCACAAATATGGCTGCACGGTAGTAGAAACGTCCGAAGCCACAGTCAAAGCGGACGACATGCCAGGCCTAAAATTTTCTATGCTCTGCTCTAAGGCGGGATGCCCACAGAGCCTAGATGATCACAGAGGTGCATATCCCCCCCATCCTCCCAACGAGTGCACTAGCATGTTACTTCCACATAAATGTTCAATCCAACATCTTGTTCAAGGCTATTCACCACTTAAAGAACATCCTTACTCACGGCACATTCTCTCTTTGTGCACGCTGGCTTGAAATTCAAATTCATCGTGTTATCGTGTTCATCTCACGTTCCCGTGGGCAGGCGTATGGAACAAGCAGCTCTGTGCCCAACCCTAATCCAGTGGTACGATCGCACCTCCCCCCCTCTTGTCTAAGGGCTTGCAGGTGCCCTTCGTTGCTGACCCAGCTCTCAGGGCTCCGTTCTCCAGTTCACTCTGACAGAGCCCCCACTCGTGCAAGCCGTCCATTTGGCCGGGCAACATTATACTAAGAAGACTCGGGCTCCAGGCCAATGCTCATCACAAGTTCAAAGGGGCTTGCCCACTTGCACGACGCAGTTCATACTGACCCGAGCCCAGCTTAAACATTGGCAGCCCTTGCTGTCACAGTCCTCTACATCGAAGGTCATCTGGCAAGGTCTGCTTCGATCACTCGCAGAAATTTGCTCCTGGACCAAGATCAGAACAAAAACAACTACAGAACTCAGCGTGCATGCAAAAACAACAAGTTGTGGTGCTGCTTTCTTCTCTTGATTTGCAATGAGGTTGGTGCAATTCACGTTGACCAAGTTGCCAAATGGTAATGCTTGGGTCAGAGGTATTTGGTCTGAGGCTCATCCTGCAACTTGTGAACTTGTGAAGCGAATTATTGGCTGGTACTACGATCTTGCAAGAGGCCTGATACAGGGGTCAAGGGGCCTGGGATGATGTAGCACAAGTATGTGCCAAGTCCGCATCATGTCCCCGCTGCAGCGTTCCGCTGGTTGTCTTATCTTGCAGACACTGCGGCAAAACCCAGCCCCGCGACGGCCCATGAACAAGCCCGCGCATCTACATGCGATAGGATTGCAGACCATGGGGGCCGCATGGAGCTCGAATGTCATCTCTGATGCCTTTGGCTTGCTTTCGTGTCGGTCCAGCACTGCCCCTGGCATGACACGCCGCTCACGTCGCGTGTTGGGTTTTCCCTAGATTCGGCCAGCAGACATATTGTCCTTGGTCTTTTGCTGATTTGACTTGAGTCGTCACATGAAGCCTGCAAGATCGATTCAATGACATCGAAGTGTGCGGGACCCGGTGAAGAGAACTCATCAAAACACCTTCCCTGGCCTCAGCTGCCAGCCAGTTTCTGCAACTCTGCAACTCCAGGCCCCAACTCCTCCGGACTTTTTGTGCCTCTGTCCAGTAGATGGCTATGGCCATCCGCTGCGGACTTGTGGCAAACGGCCGTGTGCAGCATCAATTGCTTTTGTTTTGCAAAGCGTGAACGCTCAAGCTTTGCAGCCAGAACACAGACATTCCATTCAGACTTTCGGACTTTTAGACACGTTCAGAGGCTCTATGTCAAGCCAGTTCACTCTTTCAGAGCAGGCCTCAAACAAGCGACGAGCATCTTGTAGTAGACGACGCGCCTTGAGATGTTGCATAACTGCGGTCTGCACAGCAACCGTCAGAACCACGCACAAGTCGCTCGCATGGAATGTTGCGCACTTTGCGGATGTGGCCTGTGGTGAAACTCATGTTGTCGGAGCCCAGCGTCCCTTGTTTATGGACGCCCAGGCCAAGGATTCATCCGCTACTCTAGTAACTTCAGATCTACATTATCAGGTGAGGCTTCTTGGAGCACACTTTGCACCAAGAACTGTAGCACCCAGGAAGATGAATGCAACAGAACTGAGCCGTCATACAGCCCAGGCCAAAGCCCTTCAGGACCAAGAAAACCATAGCCTGAAAACAGGAGACCCTGCAGTCATTGAAACTGCTGCTGAAGCAAGACTTGGCACCTGTACTGCAAAGTTGTCAAACTGAAGTCAATCAGCAACAAGTTTTGATCTCATTTCCGCGACTTGTTCGGCAAACCGTCCAGAATAGATCTCGCGAGCATGGTCCGCTAGGTGGATGGGTTTGTAACAGAACAGCGGGGGCAAGGCAACCCTGAGGGACTTTCGTAGTTCAGAGACATGTTTAATATGTGCTTCGGCCTAGTCCCCAGCTATTCCGCTGCCTTCTACTCGGGCAAGAGCTCCAGAAGAAGATCTTGCACCCTGTGGCACGTTTCGGGGTTTCACGTCTTCACATGGCCACCGTGCGCCTTTGCATACGTAAGGCTGACATCTAATTATCCTCGGTTCTCCCCGAAAGGCGTTCAGAGGTTCTCACGAAACCCCCTTTACCCTGCATCATCCCAAGATATTCCTTCCATGCCATCCCCCCGCGGCTCCAACGACCCCCAACCACCGCACCCAGGCCCCCACCTCTACTGCCTGGCGCCTCCACAGAATTTGGCGCGCGTCCGCGCGCGTCCTCCATCCACCTTGTTGCAAAACCTAGTCTCAAATTGCAGGCCGCAGTGTCCCTCTGCAGCTGCAGCCTCGCAAGCTTATCGGTTCTGCGACCCAGCCGAGGGGCGGATGAGCGTGCAGTTTTTTGGAGCTCATTCAAAAACCATGGAGGTAAGCCGTACGCCGCCAGACTGGTGCCAGCCCTACAGAATGAACAAACACAGTGCTTGCATCTGCTGACATCGGATTGCAAGCGTTCCTGGATGGCTGACCACGCAATTAGCCACAAGTATAGGCTAGGATCGGCTGCGACATATCTCATACATCTCATGATGTTTAGGATTCAAAACCAACCGCTTGGACCCGTGCCGTGAGCGATCGTCGTAGCATTGTGAGACAATGTTCTCCAGCACATGCAGGCTGTCCTTTGAAGAAACAGCAATCACGAGAAGGCTGACCTCCCCTCTGTCCATGCAACGAATAATATTGGTTTGGGCTTGACATGTTGACTGTCTTTCAGGATCGTACTGCCCGAATATTTGGTTAGAGTAATCTCCATGTCGAATCTTGGGCCGTTGGAAAGTGCAATTTCGGGAACGCTTTCAAAATTGCACCTGCTCCCCCATGTCTCCATCCAAATCATCATCCTGCAAGTTTGAAACTCCGCTGCGCCAAATTGACTTCGGCAACTATCAGGCCTCCTCAAAGCTTGCGGCGGCATCCTCCGGTGAAAAGCATTCAAGCTTGTCCGAGGATCTTGTTGCACCACGCTCTCAAGTGATTGTCGGGCCTCTTCTCTTTGGAAGCGCATGACCTTGATCAGCCAATCACATAGAAGCACCCCCAACTGAATCATGCCGTCAAGGATTCAAGCAAAATATCTGAGGTCGTCGCGATTCCGGACTTGCCCTCCCGAAAGAGCACTCCTCCGCTTACCCAGACGCGTCCCTTGATCAGGTAAAGAGAGTCACCATCGTCTGTGATCTTCCACCTCTGCCCCAAGGCATCAATACACCTGGCAGCCAGTTGCTGCTGCTGTTGCTTCTGCTTGACCTTTCTAATCGCTCAAACTCTGTGCGTGCTCGACGGGGCAGACCTGTCACCGATAAAGGTCAGGCGGTGCATGAACTTCTGCGCAATGCTTGCGAAGGAAGGTTCCAGCGCCTCAGCTCAAGTTGCTACAGGCTGGTATTCTTGAGCAGCGGCAAGTAGTCGAAGTCGAGTGCATATTGTTATTGGACAAGCGGCCCAGGTCCCTTGCAGCACTTCAAAGCTGGAGTGCTTACGCTTGCGCCTGGCGCGAGCGCAAAGGCTAAGCACAAAAAAGCTGGCAGATGCTAGCAGCATGGGGCCCGGGGCCTGCGCGGCTTAAAGTTGCTGCATGCCAGGGCATCTCTCTGCTCATCGTCCAGTGGGCATGGCGGCAAGCTGCAGCACCGGCAGCGGAAGCCATCTTCCGACCACGCTGCGTCTGTTTCGACCTTGAGCGCTGCTGTTTCGCGGCCAACAGATTCTGGCATGTCAAGGACAACCCTGAGTGTCATGCCCAGGCATCAGCTTTTCCCAGTGTTGGATCAGTTTGGGCCGCCCCGTCCGTGCCCACCAGAAAACTGAAACCTGACCCAGGCAAAGATGCAGAGACCGGGTGAGGCCCCAGACATCCCTCCCGAAACCGGCCTGAAGCATCCTTATCACCAGATGATGAAGTGTAGCACAGGCTAGCCGAGCTCCCATCAGGATCACTGCTGAAGCCAGAGAAGTCATCACGATCCAGCTTTTGGAGCTCCTCCTGTTCCTTGGGCCAACGCAGCTCTGACAGGATAACCCTCGCAACATATCGCAAGTCTTGCAAGTCATAAGTCATAAGCATCATATTGAAGGCACGAGTCTGGTGGTTTCGGGTTCAGATGCCCAGGAGCAGGGATGACGTGGTCTGGTGCAAGAGGGTGACGTGTCTCCTGCAACATCTTGCCAGCCCACGCAGAAGTTAAATGCTATCATGTTCTTGCTCGGGCACCTGTTGGTCTTGAGGACCAGGGTCCTGTTTCGCCCCGCTTGTGGGCCTGGCTCAACCACGAGTACAAAGCATACGAGCCATCACATTGAAGCGTGCCTTCTGTGTGTGAGGATGCCTCGGAGTGACCTGCCAGAGTGCAAGCTCGCACAGCATAGCGTTTCAAGTGGCACGTCAGACCATCTGATTCCATGCCTGATGCCAAGCAGGTATGTCCGTCCTGAAAGCTCCCATCGCAAGCAGTGCAAGCATCTTGCTAGAATGACCCAGTGAGGCCTGGCCTGGACGCCCGTGATACAACAGAACCAACTGGCAGGCCTTGCACAGAACAAATTTGCCTGTGACACGCTCAATCAGGAAGGAAATTCCGCTCAGCCACGGACAGCAGGATGCGCTTCCAAAATCAGTTTCATCGTCACCCGTCGCGGAATCCGCGAGCCATCCTCTCAATGTTGCAACTGGCACAAGAGGTGAGCCATAAGCGCAGGAGATCAGCAGGCCCAGGGCCCCGACTATGTGCCGGCAGAGCTGCAAGAAGCTCTCCCTGACGGGCTGCTGCCGCAGTACACTCGTACATGTGAAGGAAAGTGCTACCAACAGGCGCTGTTTACTAGCCGTACCACCTTCAATGCCCATCGAGTTAGCCACACTTGCAAATACTTGGTGCCCAGGTGGCATCACTCAGTTTGGTCTGCAAGCGATTGCCGCGCGAGAGTGGATCAAGGAGATTGTGCGATGCATATGTCGCATTCTGCATGCAGTGGCCAATATCTGCATTGTACGAGTCACCTGTCGGGTTTGTCCACCAGCGTCAGAAAGTTGAGGCCCTCAACCTCATGAAGATGGCAGCAGAAGTTAAGGCGTGCTCTTGGCGGTTTGGAGGGATCATGACCCTTTTCACACTTGCTTCGCGTTTGTTTCAGTCCAACACCTGCTGCTGCTGCAGCTGCTGTGGAATGTGGCGGCTTCTGTGGCGGCTGCTTCAGCTTTTTCGCACGTCTGGACCTGGAGGCCATGCCGGCCTCAGTGCCTTCTCTGCTTGGTCCAACGCTTGTCCGTTCTGTTGGGGTGCTTCCTGTGAGGTCACTGATTCTGGCATGCATTGCTGCAAAGCTGCAATCTCTACAGCTTGCTTGGCAGAGCATGTCATGAAGAGCATTGCAATGACTCAACAATGGACCAAGCAGCATCCTGGCCAAAGAAAGCCTTGGCGGCTTCGAGAGAGCCGCTACCGATCTGAAAGTCCTCGCATACACTGCAGCAGTCTTTGCAAACAAAACTGAACATCTGTCACTTACAGACACACTCATACGGTTGTCCAAAAACATGGGCTTTCGGTTTGATACAGCGCAAAACAGGATCATGAAAATATGCACGGCCACTGTGCCGCCTTAACATCTTTGGAAACACGATTCCAAGAATGGATCGATGAGCTCAGTGCAAGTCCGACGACAGCTGCTTGCGACAAAACATTGCCCGCACAAGGATGCAATACATGAAGAGCCGACTTCTTGAGCTACATGATATTCAACTGCAGACGGCCGCCGTTGAATCATGTTGAATCTAAGTGCATTTTTCAGTGCAAAGATGTGCAAAGCAGGTGGGCGTGACAGGACGTGCATGGTGTAAGCAGGAGCTCTGTCTTGTGGGATCTTGTGGGAATCAACTCTACAGATTACCTGGCACCAAGCCAGGCATTCTCGCCTGCCAACTGCACGTCAGGTAACCTGCGCCGCTGCAGATGTCACAGAATGCAGATGCAGCTCTGCATCACGTCATTCGTCTATGCGTGTAAAGCATGACAAACCGATGCCATCCGCCGCGACACAGTACTTGTGTCATGCTGTTTTAACGTGGCCACTGCTTGGACCATCACTCCCCTCCGTCCTCGTGAAGGCTCAAGGCCAGGAAGCAGCCGTACAATTTGAACAACTTGAGGTCACGTGCCAAGGCAGCCTCAGAAATGCTGCGACAGCTTACACTGAGTGCGCGAAGCCGGAAGTGAGACAAGCTGGCTAACATGGGAAAAGGCATCTGTGTATCGACATACCGCACACAGCCTGCGTGTACTGCGGGTTCTAGATGGTTCTAGCTTTCGTGTGACACCCGCTCTGAGCAGATGGCCTTGAAAATCTCTTTCTCTGCATAGGCCTTGCGGTTGGCTTGCTTTGAAAGCTGGATGCTGCGGCTCTTTCCCCTACTAACCCTAGGTCCCCGGCGGGGAAAAAACC